ACAATTTGTTTCTTCAAGTCCCAATATTCCCGGCTTGCACGATGATCACTAGAGTAACGATGCGTTGCACAGTCTCGCGTTGGCTACATAAATTGCAGGCGGTACACTGGTCGCCACTTCGAAGTTGAATTCACGCCTCAGCCGGCTCTGGCTGTCAAGATGTGGCATAGAACGTGAAAAACGGTCGAAAACGGGAAAATCTGTCTTGACCGCAGCTGTGCACGTGACTCGTTACACGTGCAGCTTCACACGAAAAATCACACGATGCGTAGTTTATTTCTCTTTTGAACCGTGTTCATTTCACGTCGCTCCGACCAACGGTTACCGATATGCGGCCATGGTTTCGAAACGGCCCCTCGGTGGCTTTGGCGCAGGTAGGTTTTTGGGCAGGGAGCTAGAATCACTTTTGAACTAGAGTGGGAGTGACAAATTTCATCGCAAAAAGACCATGCGGGAGTGAAAGAAAACAATTTACAAAAAATGGAACTTATGGACTCGTGGCTGATGCTTCAGCAAGCAAAGGCATCTATTTCAAGTTTGCATGGGCGTAATATCAGAAACCTGACAGAACCGTTTTGTTTTTTAACATCTTAGGCCATTAAAGTGAAACAGAATATATTAAAGCATAGCAATTTCATGACAGTGTAATGAGCATAACAAATTATCAACAACAATAAGTTGATGCTGCACTTTACACTTCCCTTCCACAGCACTTTTAACACAAAACAAAGCAAAGGAATTTAACAACAAAATAACAACAGAAAATTCAACAAGCATAAAACACTCAAACAAAACAGACCTTGGACTCCTACACATGAGGCCATCACTAAGTCAAACACAATAGACATACCTCTGGCCTCTGTTAAGATGGGGTCAAGGAAAACAAACATTTTGTTACTGTTTCTTACAAAATACCAATGCTTATTTCCATGAAAGCAGCCAAACTATGTCTAACCGAAAGAGGCCTTGCTTCATCTCATTCTCTCTAACCTACTTGCATCTCAGCATCAGTTGTGAGTTACGGATTCCTGCGCAATTAAATGGCAAACTCTGGTTACCAATCATGTGTTGAAAGCAGGTAAGGTAAGCAATTACTTGGTCCACAGGAGACTTATTGGCTTCTGCATGCTCGTCCAAAACAAAAACAATACCTTTTGCATGGTCTGCTGGCAGAAAGAGTCATCCCACTCACCCCCAAATATAAATATCCATCATGCCCACCAACCTATAAGATTAAAATGCGACACAAGTAAGAGGTGTGCACGATACACATCTCCAGAGAGCAGAATTTCGCCATCAAACACTTCTGTATTAGCTGAGTCAGGTCTGTCCCAAAGCTCTGTATGGCGGCATTAGGATAGCCTTGTCAGGTAGCCTTGTGAGTTAGACACTAGAAAGGCTTAGATTTATTATCATTGAGCACCGCCATGAACCGAGCAAACGGTTAACCGAGGGTTTAACAGGGCAAAAATGGCGGTAAAAATAGGTTCCGTGCTACAAATTGTCTCCTACATTTCCTGTGAGTTGTTCACTCTTGGGTGCATATCAAATATGTTTGGGCGGCTGGCGAATTAATCCAATTCATGTATCAAATACGTACAAGTTTACAGTTGGAGCATCTTGCGGAGAAATTGGTCAACATTTTAAACAACAGATGGTATCTCTAAAGGCAATCGAAAAGGAAGGAAGAATAAAGTGGTAGCACACTAGTATGATACCAAGAAAAAGAAATGGAGTTAAGTATATTTAAAGACTGACACTTTTCTGACATTTTTTTAATCAGCTGATTTTACCTAAAATCTGTTAACATGAGTGCTCAAATGGTAATATTCATCTTGTAAGTTTAATTCAGTAGACATTTCTTGAATTTTGTACCCCTGCATTTCAGGAGTGATGCAATTTAGTGGTCAAGTTCACTCGGAAAACATAAATATGTTGAGACAAATTATCTGCCAAGCCTTGCTGGTGTTTGCACCTGGCTCTGCTTTCGTGGTGTGGTGGTGAGGCAAAAAAATAGGGGATGCGTGAAACCTTGCATTTGGCACACAGCTGCCGATTGTGATGCACTTTGTAAACAAACCAAACTTAATGCGTGCAAGCGGATGGAGTCGCTGGGGTTCTTGGACTTGGAGCTACCTGGCACCCTCGCTCTGTGTATACAAAGACATGATTCAGATGTAGGTGAGGTAAGACATAGGTGTCCATGTTCTGTGGAGCCTTGCTTATGCTTGGTGGTTTCAAGTGAGCTCGGTTTTGGATGGCATCTGAAAACCTCAGAAAAGGAAATAGGGGTTTGGCATGTGCGATTAGACAATTTCAGACAAGAGGAGTGAAAAGTTGACGTAGGAAATTCAGAAAAATTCACACATTCACATATTTCGCTGGAGTGAAAAATTCACATAAAATATGGGGAAAAGGAGTGAAAAATTCCTCCTCATAGGGTGTTGTGTTACTTTACAACCAAAGTCGGCAATTCTAGGACACTGTTTTTGGGGCCGCCCAATGGATTAAGGCCGTAATTTGCAATTCACGCCACGTGCCGCCCCTTGACTCCACCGAAATGAAAGTCTGTAGCTTTTAAGGAATGACGATTTACGTGCTATCTTTCCAACTGTTCGTGTCTCATGGAGACCCATGATTTGTTGCAATTTTAGAGTGGCCATTGCATGGGAAGAGTATAAATAATTGAAACCCTCTGACTTTTTCAAAGATTCTGATTCTTCTGATTTTGCAGAAGCTGAGCAGTCCGTCCTGATATCTTAGTTGGTTAGATCGCCTGCCTTCCAAACCACCCACCCTGGCGGGGAACATTCGAGTCGGTTTGGGCGCTCGCTATGTGCCATTGACTGGGACGACCTGTGACCCCTGGCAGCGGCCATTCAAAAGATCAGATGACGCCATCGGATAGTAAGAACGTGCCGAGCGTTGCGGGACGTTAAACTCTCGCCACAGATCTCAGTCTTTGACCTGGAATGTCACGAACAGATAGCAGGGATCAGGTCTCACTCAGCAAGCACTGTTCAGAGTGAGCCCTGATCCCCAAAATACATTTGTTCAAAAAGTTCACACATCTTTAAAAAACACAATCTTAAGGAATCGTCACAAAATTAAGTCTGATGATCGTATTATGGCATCGGAATCGCTGCCAGGCTGGCCGTGTCAGAGTTGCCACCATTGTGGACGGCGCGTTTCACATGTGATGCTTCTATGTGTCGAAAGGTGCGTTGGTGGACTAAGCATGTAAATGTGTGTTACGAGTGGTTATGTGGATGTGTTTTGGCCTTTTCTCATGGTGTCCTGAGACATTTTTTTTCCGTGATGGCATGCGTTTTGCTTGCATTTGAATTTTCCGTCAGGCTTCAGCACGTAAAAGAGCCGGCTCAGCCACGGAAGGCCCGGCCGCCAGCTACGGAAGGCCCGGCCGTCAGCTACGGCAGGGCCTGGTCTCCAGCCACGGCAGGCCCGGCCTCCAGCCACGGCAGGCCCGGCCGTCAGCCACGACAGGCCCGGCCGCCAGCCATGGTCCGGGTGCTGACGGGTGCTCCTGCGGCTCTGTTGCAGGGGGCGGCCGTACCGACGGGCGAGCGCGGCGCCGCCCTGCCGGTCCGCTCTGTGCTGCAATGTGCTGTGCTCTGCGCTGACCCTGGCCGCTGTGCCGCTGCCGAGTTCGTCGCTGGCGACATGTCACGGCCCACCTGCGCTCTCGTTGGGCTCGGCAGCTTCGGCGTCCAAGCGTACGCCGCCGGCGCAGTGGTGCTCTTGCCTCTCCGCTGAGCACGGCGACATTGCCGACGCTGCGGTTGGATTAGGGATGAGCGGTTCGGCTCCGTTCAAGTGTGGTTGGCAATTCGTTCGGATCCGCACAAATATGCAGGCACATACATTGCACTGCATTCTGTCTTAACAAACGGACACGCTCACTTGAGCGTTCTCGTGCGTGCGTCATCAGAATGCTCCCATATGGGTGTGGCATTCTAAATGCTCTGTTTTGTGTGACCTCACTGAGATGTTTCTCCCGGAAGTGCATGTGCGATGGACTGCAAGCAGACTCGTGTTCGGTGCCGTGATTCTGTTTTCACCCCTTCTTTGATGCTGTTGCTCACCGGGCCGGAAGTGAAAGAGGCAAAGGATGTGGTCAGGCCATTAGAGGTGTCTTTTTAACTAAAAGAGACTACCCCACATTTGCATGGGGTGTTGAGCTGGGACAGCCATTTTCAACATGGTTCCCTGCATTTTACTGCCATGCCCTTTAAGACTTTAAACCCCTTTAATTATGTGCTTGACGCACGCCAAATTATGTAGCCTATTTCACGCCGATTATTTCAAGATAATCCAGACATGTGTGACTTTACGAAAATGCATCGTGTATATCCTCACCTCACTGTCTGCATTGTGATTATGGTCAATACAAAATACGCCCACCGAAAGATTGGTGTTTATAGTGATTCGACATCAAGAGTTCCACAGACTCCTAACACCAGTTCCAAAGAGGCATCTGCTAACACTTAGATTGAGCTACCAAATGCATCTCGACCACGATCCGTCTTTTGTAATAAAAAAACACCGGTATTTGGGCAACTACTAGTTACGCCGCACGTCAGGTTGAGAGTCGAACAGCTTAGGAAAAGTGCCGTGGCCAAAAATTAACATCCAAGCAAAAACATGCCATCACGAAACAATATTGCAACACACCACGAGGGCCAAAACACACCCATATGCCGCTCATAACATAAAATGAGCGCTGTTCGCAGTGAGACTTCTGTAGCCAATCTTGAATGCCGAGCTTTGCCAGCTTCATTTAAACGTCGTAATTTATCAGGCAGAGCTTGTCTAGCTTGCATGTCTATGTCCACTGGATGTGAAACGTCGTTCACAACTTACGTATCGTATTCGTGTTACGTATCGCTCACATCAAGCATACCACCCGGCTGAAAATATACGTGTTGTGAGAAGTCGCTTTCTGCAGCGCTCTTAACAAGTAAATCACATTTGCAGGAACGTTTGCGGAGGTGGCGCATGGCCCCTCATGTCTGCAATCCAGGCCAATCTTGGCTCCACTGGAACCACCGCCGCCACCACGGCTGGGACCACCGCCGCCACCTCGGCTGGAACCACCGCCGCCACCACAGCTGGAACCACTCCTGCTACCTCTGCTGGAACAACCGCTGCCACCAGCACCGCGGGAACAACTGCCACTTCTGCTCCCGGAGCATGTAAAAAAATCAGTTAGACCCAAACCTACCCTGCGCCTCATTGTAGGCCAGCCTCTTAGCATGCATCTTGGCCTCTATGAGGTCTTCTGATATGCACTCTCGAAGTTCTGATCAAAGCATGTCTCTACTTAGTGGATTCCCCGAAGAAGACTTTTGGTAGCAGTTTGAGGTCATTTAAGCACGAGAGCTAACCTCATGGTCAATTATTAGGTGTGCGCTGTTCCAGAAAAGCAGCCAAGCCTTTGCATGCCTGAGAACTGAAACACAAATTTAAACTGCGTTTCAGTGTGCATGACATTGACACAGGATTTCACGTATCAACAACACACCACTGATTTCAGGGTTAATCCCGCTGTACCGCGCACTTGAAATCGGCAAGACCGCATGTACTTAAAGCTGTTAGCATGTCTACACCATCAACCAACATGAATGACTACAGTTGTGGAGCTGATGGTACTTGGTGTTTTTTATCAGCACTTTTGCAGATGATCATGGAGTTTACGGCCATTCCTGATGATTCGTTCCAGTTACGTGTCCTCAGCCGAATGGCTTATTTTCTGACCCATTGGACTGCCAGAGCTATTACAACTGTGGATGGGGCGTCCCGCACCATACCACCTGTCCTTCCGGCACTCTGTTCGACCCGGCCATGAGCAACTGCAACTGGGCCAACCTGGTCAGGTGAGGCAGCCTGTGTTCGAGTGAAAGAACCTTAACAAGACGGTCAGCACATGTAAAATAGCAACTCATATTCCTCTTATGATGCGCCTGACAGCATTGCATTTGTTGATCGGTTGATCTGGCTCTGTGATTGGACGCCAGCTTCCGTCTTCATCATTAGCACCGTCGCCCAGTAGCAAGAAATGGCTTCCGCGCTGTCCATCGCGCCGTGATGCGTTGCAAATTAGAAGTTAAAGTGCAATATGTTCAAGTTTTGACAAGCTGGAAACGTTACCACTTCGGCACCAACTTGAATGAAATGTCACCAGCCCAGGGCCGGAAAGGCTCGGCTGGTTCTGGCGCTGGTGCCTGCTGCCAGCCTGTTCATCGCAGGCCAGCATTTTCCGCTACCTGTGGAGGCTCAAGTCCGAGTCTGCCTCCAGCACCGACTCAGCACTGGTTGGCAATACTATCCCGTCTCTGCTGCCGGCCATTCCAACACGCAGCATTTGTCAGTCACCGCGATGTGTATGCGCGTTCCACAGCTGCTCGACGTCGCCTGGAGGATCGACTGCTGCCAGCACCAGCGGCACGGCCAGCACCGCTGCCTCCACGACCACCTCCGCACCCTCCGGGCCCTGTGAGTTCCCAGTCGGATGCTGGAAATCGGTGCAATAAGCGTCCAATGCGATTTACATAAGGTCTGAGCTCGTTAGCGAAATATCGCTTTCATATCCTATGGCACGGATGAAGACATGTTTCTTGCAGTTATGCCTTTCATGATTAAAATAGTCAGGTGAGAGAATCATATGAAGGTAATGTTTATACGTGCAGGTTCCATTTGCTTACGCATTATGAGTTCAGAGTTCTTATGCTGAGCTCCGCCTTATAGTCGCCAGTGGATGGGGACTCATGTGATCTGTGATATATCATGCCAGGTCAAAGTTGTGAACGCGACTGTTGTATTGACCCGTACAACTATATCAAGAACCAGACAAGCCCAACTAATGGTCTTAAATCAGGGCTAGAAGACCTCCCAAAGCTGCAAGACATGTGCTATTAACATTAAAATTGTATGACAACCAAACGTTGAAATCGGACAACAAAGATTAAGGCTTGACCTAGTTTGACCTTAGATAATGTGAGCGTTACAATGCCACCAGACCGATAATAATGCACTTCAGTGAGATAAGACAGGAAGAGGGGTCTAGTAACATTTAAAGTGCATTTTCTGAGAGAAAGAAGCGTCATTTGTCGCCTTTGAGAAAAAGGGCACCAACATGACCTCGAGGAGGTCACAGATCATGAACCATCGAGATCAGAAACTTCAACTTTGTTACGTGTGTGGGAAGTATGTAAACTACGGTGCCAAAAATGCCAGCACGGGGTCGCAACAACTTTGAGATCATTCTGGAAAACCTTAGGAGGCTTCTGAGGCCCATTTGCAGGGAAGACTTAGGCGAAGTAAATTAAATTTCAAGGTTCAGCCTGTGCAGACCTGTTGCTCAAAGTGAATCATAAAACAGGCACTACGCAATGGAGGCGCTTAATAAGGTCTGCAAGGGTGTTTCACTGAGCGGGGCGATAGCATGGAACGTAGGTGATAACTGCCGCTGACCGCTGTCAATGTCTGATTATGACACTCTCCCTCCCCCGCGGTCTTATTTCAGTCACGTGCCCCTCACCCACTGGGCACTTCGCCGACCCGGCCGACTGTCACAGCTACTACAACTGCTGGATGGGCACAGCGTACCACTTCACGTGCGCGCCCGGCACCAGCTGGTCACAGGCCATCGTGGCCTGCGACTGGTCTTCCGTCACCGGCTGCTACTGACGTCCGGGCGGCGCCCTGTCGCACGACAGCTGGCCTCCTGGTGTACTACATCACCCAGCGGCGTCCTCGGCCGTGTTTTGAGGCCCTTGTCTACAGCTTTAGTAGTTCGATGCACTCTGATTGATGCAGTCTGCTTTGACACGTTGTGTGATTGCTCCGACACCTGTCAATGGTTGAAAAAAGCGGTAGTGGCTTGCTTGAATAAATTCATTTATATTGGAAGCTAAGACCTAAAACGATAATACAGTTATGAAGAAATACTCACTCCCTGCTAATGGCAGGTGTGCAATTGATAGCATAACTGCGTGGTGAATATACATAAAATGTCGCCCTGCCAGGCTTGTGCCACTCTACATACGCAAGTTTGTACACCAATGCATCACGTGACCAATGGGTCTAAATGATAGCGCGCACTGTGCCGAGAAGAAGCTACAAGACTGTTGTTAGATTTTGCCCCCGGTGTGGGGGGGGGGAGGGAAGACGTCCTGTGACGCTGGAAGGGAAGGGAGATGATAGCCATGTGGATTATATCTTCTCCGTCAACACTTACAGGGCCGATACTAGATTTTCAAAAAGTTTGGGTCTCAGCCCCTGCCCTCATCTCCGGTTCCTGCGCCCCCATGTCCTACGGTGGTGCAGCTCAGGGCACATGAGGAGTTTGCATAACGATAATCATTTACAAGAATGCCAGCTGTTAAACGCAGGATTTCTTAGCCACTTTTTATTCAAGTAACGCGATGGTTTTGGGACCTTGTCCTCGCCCCCCGTATCAAAAATTGGTGGTGCTGACCTTGCAAGTAATGTTAGGTTAGGTTAGATTAGGCAAGATTAGGCTGTGTGATTGTTCCAACATCTGCCAGTAGTAAAAAAACCGCCGGTGACCTGCCAGAATATGGCCATTCTGACTGGAAGCGACTACCCAAACCGATAGCACAATTTATCAAGAAATCCCCGCATCCTACTAATGGCACGTGTGCGATCACTTGACAGTCGATGATTTTCGGATGACACACTCGGGTGCAAGCGCAGATCAGCACATGCCCACAAGGTATGACCGTGAAGAGATAGTAAGCAGAATAATCAGCAGAATCGTCACCCACGGGCAGGAAACGTTCAATCATATAAACAGCTTTAATCAATGATAACCCTGCTTAACATTCTGATAAACTGCCTGGCCTATATGGGAAGTAAGTGATCCTGGTGCAGAGTCCATTTCACTTCATAATTGCCTAAATTTCGCTCACTTGGCAGCTAAAATGCTGCGTTTGACGTCGTCATTTAATTTGCGTTTGGATTTGCCCTTACAGGTACGTGACCAGCAGACAAGTACCTGCCTCTCAATGCTGGTTCCTGGTTCCCACTTTCCCGCATCAAAATGAAACCCTAAAGCCTTGGTTTCGGTTGGTTCTTTCATAAACACTAACCCCTATATTGCATTGGCTATTTTGCAAACACCTGGCCCTGGCTCATGGTTCTCACTGATTTTTCTTAAACTTAACATACGGGTTCTTGGTTCAAATCTGCAAGGGCAAAAACACCTCCGATTTGCTGGACATGATCGGTGGCAAAAATAAACACTTTTGCGTGGTAAATTCCAAAAGCATCCTCTGAGGAAGTCCAAAATATGCTCTGAGTCTACGCAGTCAACGCCACTAAAAAGATACCAACACCACCAATCATCACATGGCCGCTATGTGAGCCTGTAGCCACGAAATAGGCGGCAGAGGGTGTCTCATTCAGAACGCGTGGCTCGGTAAAATGCCCGTGCACTCAAACAACTGATTGTGTCCGGTCATAATTCGGTTTTGGTCACAATGTCATGAATGGAAGCCATGCTGCATCATGTAATTATTTTCCAGTAAGTACCGTATTTTCGAGCTAGCCATTAAAAGAAAATAACGCGGTGATAATGACCTTGGATGCAGCTTAAAGGCGCCAGTCATGGTCGAGGAGCAAGCAATGAATGAGAGCATGAATTTTTTATTATTTAGCACGCATTCATCGAAACAAAAATGTGGTAACCATCAAAATAAGTTTTGGCAAAGATGAACAACGTGAAAAAGAAGAAAATGTAAAAATGTTGTACCATGTCATGCCCAGAATACCATGCATGATACTATGTATGAATCTGTATCAGAATGAAGCGGACTCAGTGACCGTGGCATGAATAAGATTATCGATTTTTCGAAGCTGCTGAGACAGCTATAAAAATCATTTCATTTCCATCATCACGCGGTTAGACTGACCTAGGATATACTATCATTCTTACTGAATCGCACTTTTTTCTATGCTTGGGCATGAATGGGTTGCGACTAAATGAAAACGTTTGCGCGTTAAGCAATAATCTGCCTCTGTTAACAATGCTCACACCCAGGACGTTTCCACTTTATTGTAAATTCATGTTTAAAGACACCCAAAAGGGCAAGTGGTGTTTGCTGTCGGAGTTATTTCTATGTTGATCTCCTTTTTGTGTCCCCAGCGTGATGCGTTTGACTAGGAAAACTTCTGCGCTTATCGCCATTTTTCCTTTGAAGGCATTAGGTGTCTAGCCACCTCTTACTCCATCTCTCCTCTTTCTTTCCCTCTTTTCTCCCTCTCTGCCTCTCTTAACCTTCTCTCTTACCTTCATCTCTAATCCTCTTTCTTCTCTTGATCTATTTTTCTGTTGTCTCCTTCTTCTCCCCCTCGGGCGCTCGCGCCATTTTCTGGCGGATTGACGTGACATTCCACCAGTAGCGCTCTCCTTTGCCCGAAAAGCGCGGGCCGGGCCCCAAAGTGACTCCACTGTTGCCGCGATATCCGAACGAACAGTCGTGCCCGCTGACGGCTCCGGCCGCCGGCGGGGCAGGCAGCACGTGGGGGGTTGTTGGGGTGCAGTGATGGTTACGGTGGACGGGGTCATGTCTACTGCAAAGCGTCTTCAACGCTTGTAATTGAAGTGTAAAAGTCAAACTTTGATTGACTGCCGTGCGGAAATATCTGATCCAGGCAAATTTCTGAGCCGCACTGCGCTGGCATAATGCATCATTTGCAGTAAGCCCACTTTAGGCATGCCGCTCTGAAAACTTTGGATTCTAGCTCTTCATGCCAGCTGGTCTGATATTAACTGTGTCAGGTGCGCCCAACTGAGCAGTTGCAGCAAGTTACTTAGGTTTTGCTGGGTTTCGAGGCCTGCAGCAAACCAACTGCTGAAGACATCGTCGTTGGCTGTAGTTGACACTCCTCAGAAGTGTATAGAGCTGCAGCTCGGACTCATACTGCGCCGTTATTACTCCATAACCGGCGTTAGTGCCAGCATTCATCACGCTGATGGGGTTCGAGGAGCTTTTATTGCCCAATGATGAGACGCGTGCCGATTATACAATCAAGAGAGCGGGGGTTGGTCGCATGATCTACGGAATATTCTTTGATATATTGAGGTCATTTATGTGCAGTGCGTGGGCGGACCAACCATAGCGGGGTCTTGACATTATACAGGCTGATACTGGGCCGTACCCTACTTTGAGCGGGGAGTGTGATTTTCACCCGCTCCCTCAGCCGATATTTGGAAACTGACAGGTCGATTTTGAAAAACGACATACGGCATCTGGTTTCTTCCGATATAATCTGCTTTTTTGGAATTTGGCAACGCTTTTGAAGCGATTTACAGCGATCGTCAGATAATTGTTTGCACTTGATGTGCTATGGCAACATTTAAGAGTCTAAAAGTCAATGGTTGTATTCGGGAGATGCAAAACGTGGTGCCCAGAAAAGTTGTTAAAACGGAACTGTTATGAAATGCATGAGTAGCAGATGGTAGGCTGTTTAATGCATTTATGAGAAACATTATGCATATATATAGGACGGTGGTTATGGCATTTTTCGCAGGAAAACGAGGATAATGGAGATATAGTTGCGTTCATATTTCGGCAACATGTGTGTATCGAATCAGGCTTATTCCTCGTAGAAAAAAGCAGCAGAATTGAAGTATAGATGCGTTGATATTTCGGCAGCGTGCCTTATCGAATTGAATAGCAGAAGTAACTTCAAAATTGCCTGCCGATCGTCTCAACCAATATTTCGTTGTTTTTTTTTAAACAGCGACAGTTTTTGCAGGTCACCAACATTAAGGGGATTAAACAAGGAACAATTTTCCGTCATCACTACGATACAGTGCATATCTAACTAAGAACTGGCATTTGTTTACCAGCCCGCGGGGCTTGGACCCAAATAAAGCCTCCGACCAGCCCTTCGGGTTCTTCGGGACCTCAAATCGGGCCCTTAATCGCCGGTCCCAAAGGACCCTCCGGACCCCTCAGAGCCTAAGGAGAGAGGAGCATGAGCCCGCTGTCCTCTCCCTTCTGCCTGCGCCATCGGTCGCACTTTAGTGATCGAATCTAACATCTTTTTACTCCAGAAAGTATCAAATTATTCAGGCGTCGGGTGTGATGAACCCGTATGGTACGGTTAAGAAGTTTGTTTCCGTATCTTGGAAGAGGGTGGGGGCTAATTTAAACCGGCGTCTTCCGGCACACTTACCGACTAATGGCTTGCCGTTGAGCAAGTTGTTGCCCGTAGAAAAGATATTTTTCAAGACAGTAAAATATTTTTCAAAACACATTTTTTCCAGGACAATTTTGGTGCTTCTTCGGCAACCCTGTATGACTCTCCAAAGGGGAGAGCCCATGGTCAGAAATGTCGCTTTTTGGAATCAGGATTTCCTTTTCTTCACAGCTGTTTAACCCTCACCATGCCTGGTCCTTTTTCAAGACGCGAACTAATAGGGGCGGGGTCGATGCGTCCCTCCACCTTTCCAAATTAGGTCGATAGAGCTTCGCAGAAAAGAAACAGTGGATTGGTGTCAACGTGATCTCGCGATTGTTAATAAGTGGCATGTTGCTGGTTGACTGTATGATGCCAGGTTACGTGTTAATTTTTCCTGAACATCGCACGATTAAAACTCCACATGCCAAAGTGTACAAAACCATACATTTCGCGTCATTGTATAACAACAATGTATATACACATAATGTATAATGTATATACCAAACCATACATTGCACATAATAATGTATATACACATACGTACATACGCAACGACATTTAGTTTAGAGAGACGCGTTTTTTGCTGAATTCTTAGCACGCTACTATGTATTTTTGTGCGTTTTCATGAGGTGTTTGTGATGTAGGGTCCCGTTAATGCCACAATGTATGCTTAATGCGACAACGTCTTAATGCGTCTTAATGCGGCAAGGGCTTAATGCGGCAACGTTGGCCCGCCTCGTGCGATCGGGGGATTCTTCAGTCGCCGCCCGCCAAGAAGGCTAAAGGCTTGTTCTGGTGTTAC